GGCGCTGCGGCCTGCCAGGCAACGTGCTGACACTGGTCACGGTGCACACCTCATGGCCTGACCTCCTTTCCCTGCTAATTGCATTACACAGCCAGCTGGCTCCAGAGTGGAGTCGTCTGTTTGACTGAAGAATTCCTGCTTTTGGGGAGGCATGGCTGCTACTTTTGCTAAGTAACAGTGGGGCCTGACATCCCCATTGTCTGGCTGACAGTGTGCCCATCCTAAAATCTAAGTTTTATTTGTAAATTAACCAAGAAACTTCCTGCCAGATCAGGGCTGCCTGGAGACTGATAATGTGTGCCTTTCATTCCCTTTCACTCTCACTGTATCACTGCCAATTTGTTTTTCTGCTGCTCGCCAGCCCGAGGCCATAAAAGCCTTGTAAGACATAAGTGCAATTATAGTCCTGGAGTCAAATGAATTGGACAAATCCAATAGCACAGCTCTGTCCCCACTCTGCAAACCCCTACAGCAGTCAGATTAGCTGCTAAAAATCTAATCTAGCCCCAGCTAACAAATTTCTGCAGCGAAGGAGCAAGAGTTCAGTATGGGGTTGCAACCAGATTTCTGAATTGGAAAAGTTCTGCCCTGACAATGGAGAAGATGGAATAAATCACTGAGAAATTCTGTAGCACATCTTTAAAGCATTAAGCGCAATTTGGGCAGAACAAGACAAGGACAGTGGGATGCCATTCCTGGGATTGATTTTCACTCTTGCCACAAGACAGCCAGATAAAGTTTGGAGCCAAGGATGCTGAACCCTACAGCAGCAAAAGAGATCAGCAGAATTATGTTTACTCCACTAGAAAAGATTTCTGTCAGGGCCAAGACTTATTTGGAAGGGTTTCTTTCTTTTTTTTTTCTTTCTCCCTAAATTAGCAATATAATATGTCAGCAAATACCTCAAATAAAGAAATACAAACTGCAAAGGACAAGTCTACTGCACAAGAACAAAGAGCCAAGTTCATCCCCAGTGGAAGTGCACTTATTCCTGGGAATTTATACCAGAAATGAATTTATGCTCATGTTCAGTAAAAATAAAGAACCACACTAACATATTTAAATAAAATTACTGCATCTGCTTAATCCCCTAGCCCCCAGAATTTATGGCCTCTGAGCACGGCTCCTCAGGCCAGCAGGTGGTAAGCCCTTCTGTTCTGCTCAGAGTGCACAAGCCAAGCACACTGATGGGGACTGAAGTCTTCCTGCTGGTCTGAGGCAAAATATGTGGAGAAGAAACCACAGAAAACACAATGATTTTGGAGATATGGGGTACCTTACATCCCAGACAGAATCCAGGCAGTCCTATCTATGGAAGGAGGGAGAAGGCAAGGAAAAAGAATTTGTGGTCCCCATTGCATTCTGACTGGCAACCTGATAAAATTTTGTCTTTCCAGGAAACCTGTCCTGTATCACCAGACATGGTTCTGTCGCAGGAGCAGTAACAGAATGACAAGGGAGTCTGCCTTCCTCTCCCATGCTACCATGAAGGAGAAGCATTAATGGTAAGGAGTAATAAATATAATATTTTTAACCTGGACACTCTGCCCCTATAATCTAAGGTGAGGACCTAAGCTGAAGCTATGCTACTGCTCAGTGTGCAAGTGGAACACTTTTAGGCATTTGGAGAGTTGTCACAACCTCAGAAACAACACCGCATTTGATCCCAACACTGTTAACCAGGAATTGCAGAATTCCCCAGCGCAGTACCGACAAGTGGGGGAAATAAATACATTTCACTCCTGTTTCAGAGTGTGGCATGGGTAGCCCCACAGGACCTTCCAAGCACAAGCCAGCCATGCTCTGCACAGGTAAAAGCAGCCAAAATCAACACAGGACTTCTGTGGCCTGAGGAGTTTTGTTGCCAGAGCATCGCTTCACTTGGCTTTGGGTATTTCAGGATTGGGCCAACACAGCAAAGCGTTCACGCAGGAATCACAGTCTGGTTTGGGTTGTAAGGGACCTTAAAGATCACCTAGTTCCACCCCTCTGCCATGGGCAGGGACACCTTCCATTAGCCCAGGTTGCTCAGATCTCCATTCAACCCTGGCCTTGAACACTTCCAGGGATGGGGCAGCCACAGCTTCTCTGGGCAACCTGTGCCAGTGCCTCACCACCAGCAGCTGACACTTTCTGGAGTATAAATTTTGCAGAATCGCAGAGTGGTTTGGGTTGGATTGGCTTTAGAAATGGCTTGGAGAGACACTCACAATCAAAGTTTTGAAAAGCATCTGCTAAATGTTTGTGCTCTAACAAAGAAGGAATTCTCTTAGAGCAAACATAGGGAAGACAATGAAATAGAATAATTCAGACTCTTGGTGTCCATGTTAGCCCATAACATGGGTGAGAAGTAGGAGAATTAGTAACTGCTGTTAAATCTCATTTTTCCCCTTGTGGTAACTCTATCACACTGTGCTCTGTCATCTCTCAGATGATGCATTACCTAACAGCCAGGCAATATCTAGGTGTCTTTGCTAGGCTTTCACAAAACCCAGGAGCTAGGACTTAGAAGAGAAGATTAGACAAAATGATCACAATTTGCATAGGAAAAATCTGAGAAAAACATGGAAACAGTTCTCACACGTGTAAGTCTGCTACAAAATTATCTGCACTCCATATCCACGTGGAATAGGGCAAGCATAAATGGGGTTAAATTGAAGTAAAGTATATGCTACAAGAGATTTTTTCATGCTACAAGTGGAGCATAGGAATATGTTGCCTAGGGAAATTGTAAATCATTCATCACTGGAGTTTTGAACTAGCAGCTGGACAAATACTGGTCAGGAACAATAAAGATACAGATAGTTCTACCACAGTAAAGTCACAGAGACTATACAACCCTTACCACATATCATAGCCCCATCTCTCCATCCTGAAGCACTTAGATTGCATTTTTTTCCACAGCCATGTAATCCACTAATACGAAAATAATGAGTTGCATACAGAAAGAGAAATGTGCCATTTTGTTGCTTTTCTTTTTAGTGATAGGTATCCCAACAAAAAGGAACAGATCTGGCTTTACCATGTAGCACTTGGCAATTTTTCAGGACCAGTAATTAGAAATTCCACCTTTATATTTTGAGGAAAAGCGCATGTCATTCTGAAACCAACTGGACACCAAACACAGTCACCCAGTGACATATTTACAGACAATGCTCAGAGCACAGCAGTACCCCATGGTGGACTGGATGGCTGCAGTAGCACTACACACAAACGTTAACAACTTCTGCATGACAAGTTGCCAATCCTAATTAAGAAGGCAGAGATTTGGTATTCCCCTAAAATCTTCTTTCACTCTAAGAAGCAGTTGGCCATCAGCATAATCTCAGATCACTCCTTGTTAGGAAAGACAAATGATTAAGTACCAATACCAACAGAGTTTTGGGCTAGGTTGTGGCTGCCTTTGAAGCAGAGGCTGCTTGTCAGAATTGTGCCTAAGCAGCTACTGGCTTTAGCTATCAACTGGCTGCTTTAGGTCCTGAGTTTGTCACCTCCCTTTCCTTTGCTGTTCCACGTGGGATGCTTTGTCTGAAAGGTTTTATTATGCTGTGTTTGGTTGTTTTTCTTCTACCAACCTACAACGGTTTTGGCAGGCAGACAACACACAAATGAAATTATTGCTAATATTATTACTCATGGTGGTATTTGAGGCTACCATGGAAATGTTAATTGTGTTTCAGAACCCAGAATTTAGATGCCATTTAATTCAGATGATCCAGCTGCAGAGCACCATGTGGCACAGCAAAGACAGCCTGCCAGGGCCAGTCACCTTGAGCTGCTTTCAGTTCAAACTTGCATTTAAGCACTTGAAGACTACAGTGATGTGAAAGACACTGCTAATTGCTTACCTTTTTGGTCAGTGAATCGTCCGAATCTGATGGCATTCTTGTAGACACATGAAAAATTATTTCCACAGTGGAGGTAGCATAGTAGGGAGCAGTTTGTCCTGTGCTGCCATTACGCTGCAGGCCACCCATGAACCCCCCATGCGTGGAAAGATCAACCTGAGGGATTCATAGTCATAGTCAGAAGAAATTTGAAAAGACTGAGGAATAATCAGTATTTATTTCTCTATCAAGAGATGGTGAATTTACCACTCTAGGATTCTGTGGCCATCCCAGAGAAAGAGAAGTCTTCCCTTACGGCTCTGTGACCTTTCTGCTAGATCTGTCTTTCCCAATCCTGTATTTGACATTTACTAAAAGCTAATCTCTCTCAACTCCATCCTGAATCGCTATCTATCTAGTGTTTTGAAGTTGCTGCCTATCCAGCTATTTCACCTTCCTCCAGCAAACAGCAGGAAGGAAGCAACAGCATTCTGCCGCATGCTGCTGCTCTAAGGGCTCCGCAGGGCTCAGAGCACCCACAGCCAGGAGCACCACAACAGGCACAGACAGTAGAATCAGAAAAACTGAAGAAGGACTTGAAGATCTGTACAGAAGGAAAAACCTTAGAAGAAATTATTCCAGAAGATTATTCAGAAGAAATGCCTCTCAAGTGAAGCCTGAGTCCAAAGGCTTGCTCGTTTTCCCAAAGGTATCAGTCTGAGGATGCTGCCTTTCCCTGTGGGCCTTGTTGCACTTCAGTCCTTAAACACGACATGCACCTACTCTGTATTTCCCAAACCCATAAATGTTCATGGCATTTGGATTATGACACAGCCTTTTGACAATGAAAATTAAACCCCAAACATCTTAGTCCTTCGTAAACAACTCCTGCGGTGAGTGTGTACTCTGACCACATCAGGAGCTAAAGCAACTAAATATCAGTGTGTGGTCAAAGTTATCATTCTTTTTTTCGAGAATTAAAAACTATGCAGTGACATCAGCAAGATGTTAGCCCGTCTAAATTTATGCCTGTTACCTCCCAGCCCAGTCCAGCAACGAAATCTTCATAGGCCTGGCTTCCCCCTGCATTGGCCAGGATGGAACACTTGTCCTCCTGTCCCTCGGCAATGTAGAACACAGCAATCTTGTGAGTCTCACGGCTGCAAGTGGATACAAAAGAAATCAAAGTTAAAGCAGTTTTAGCTGAAAACCTTTTTAGACCCCCCTCCAATCCAAAGCTGTGAACTGTATATAACTCCACATGTCCAATTCTTTTATGCACACAAGTACATCACTTGCTTTCAGCTGCAGAAAGATTTTCCCTCATTTTTTTTGTCCCCAGACCCTACTGCAGAGACACTCCAGGTCTGAGAGCAGAGCTGAGGCTGGCCCTTCTGTGCATCAGCCACAGAACTGGTGACGGAGTTCCAGTTACAGGGTGAATGACTCAGATCCATACAGCCTTGCCACAGACAATGAAATGGCACAGGTGTTAATAGCAGCATAATTTGACCTACAGAATTTTAATGATATTTACATAATTTAATTAATTAATGACATATGAGGAAGAAGAAGCACTATTGACTTTCAGACTCTGGGTTGAGTTTTACAAGGCTGACAGAGAGAGTTGGCTTCTTTGAAAACAAGCAGGATGGACGTTATGGAAATTCATAGAATCATAGAATTTAAGGGTTGGAATGGACTCAGAACTCTGCAATGCTGCAGATGTTTTTCAAATAGCTCCACATCAAGTAATAAAACATCAAACATAACCTTCAGAAGTCCATTCTGCCACTTCCTGACTGGGGAAGAGTTCTGGGAAGATCACCTCTTAAAGTACTGCTCCTGACATAGGGATCGTCCTGCAGGAAATGGTCCTTTGTGTCAACTGAACCAAGGTCACAAGGAATTTGGGAAATTCTTCCCTCCCCTCTCAGCTAAAGCAAGCTGCCAGTAGGTTGCTGTCTTATTATTTGCTACTGATTTGGAATTCTCTGTACACAGTGCCAGCACAGACAGCTCCTCCATTTAGGCTCGAGAACATGGGTGCAATAAGCAATCCACTTTTCATACCAATATTTGTATTCAACAGGAATGAAGCTTTGGTTTTGGTGTCTCACTCATTCTTCCTTCGGAAACACAACCCTTATCAGTGGTGTGTCCAGCACACATCACCTACCATTGGCGGGAATCCAGGTTTTTCAGTTCTCGCAGCAATTTTGCGTTTTTCTTAAGCAGATGAAAGCTTTTCCTACAGACAAATAAAAAAATGTTTGAAGGCAAATGCAACACAGTACAGACACAGTATGTTCTCATTCAAATAACTCAGAGAAGAGAACCTAATTAACACAATATGATTTCTTAAAATTATTATTACACACAGTCTACGGATGTCAATTTAAAATAACCACTGAAGTTCAAAACTATGCTCTGACTACCCCCAGCTACGCAATCCTCACTTTCTTAAGTGTGTACGTGTTTGGCAGTAAGAAGTGAGAAGAGTAAGAACACTGTAAACATGCTCTGAATCCTCTCTTCCTACCTTCTATCCCAGGAATTCATTCCCAAGTCATTTAGCAACAGCCGACAGAAATAAAAGGAGGCTTGAGGTTCAGTGGGACACGGTGGCTCCTGACAGGCCACCTTCATGCTGCAGTCAGAGCTGCACTTCAGTATGAAGTCTCTTTCCTGGGCACTCTGTCTCATCAGGGCTTCTGTGATGGCACGCTCCTGGTCAGAGCTCATCCCAGAGGGCGGTGGCGATGGTTCATTCAGCTTGCACTGGGGATGCAAAAGGCACTCAGGGCTGGTGTTACCTATCTTCTCCAGCAACTGGTCGAGAGCATCTTCTCCTTCTTCCACCTGAGGAATGTCTTTCTGGGAGATGAGGTGGTGCTCTGGGTTGCTGGAGATCACAAAGGCGCTAGCTGTGCTCTGCTGCAGAAGGCAGCCCTCCAAAGGTCCATACAGTACTCGGCCATCCCAAGAGTATTTCCCTGAGATATCCCTGACGATCACCCTGACGTCCGAGGGGGCTGCTGCTGGCTCAGTGTCTGCCTTCTTCTCTGAAGGGATTTGGAGGTAAGAGATGAGAGTGCTGTCATTAAACACGAACAGCTGCAGGTTGGGACTCCGGAAGACTTCTGAGGACAGCTCGGAGGACTCCACATAGGAATTGTCATGGTTCTCACTAAGGAGACTGTGGAGAATGGCAGGGCCTCCACTGAGCGGGTAGTGGCTCAGGTGATTCACCAGGTGAGTCATAACCATCCTTGCTGTTAGAGGTATCAGTTCTAAATTCCTCCTCCTCTTCTCTGAAATCATCAAAGAAAATGTAATGGATCAGTAAGGGCAGCAAACGGCAATTCAAACAGAGCACCTGTGGATTGCTGTCATGTTTCAGCACCTTGTCTTAGTTGTTTACTTGTTTATTATTTTACCTTGTAAATAGTAAGCTCTTTGTAAATTAGCTTTTTTAGCTTTCCAAGACATTCTACATGTCCCACAGCTGTATTTTATTTTACCGCATCCCCACAGCCATCAGATCAGGAGGACGACAGGGCACAAAGGCTAAGGTAAACCAGAGACGCCACCACAAACAAACCCTCCTTCATTCCTGGCAGCAATTCCCTGGACCCCCAAATGTTCCCCTTCATGCAGGCAAACAACATCAGTTATTTCATGAAGTGACTGTGCTCTGAGCTATGTTGTGCCTCCACTTGCCCTGTGGGAATGTTGTTCCAGAACATCACCCCTTTTACAGCCAGAAACCTCCTAATTCCCTATTTTTGTTCATATTCAGTTTAAAACAATTTTTTCTTTAGTTTACAGTATTTTCCTCTATCCCTGGTATTTACACCTTCCAATGCACTGTAAAATGAGAGGTAAATCCCTCCTGTGAATCA